TGCTAGACTTCCCTACAGGGAATAAGGATGGAAACCTCCGAGTTCTATCTATTATATTTACCCGATCAGAAGTGTACCAAAGGCCGTACTTGTAAGATGCACCTAGTCGAAACAAAAGAGGTGCTGGAAGTAGTGTAAACATGGAAAACAAAACCCTAGAGGCATTCTGGAGCCCGGTCAGGAATTCAAAAAATGAATCACATGGAAAATGTGTGTCAACAACATGGGAACTAACTCCTTCATAAGGTTCGCCTCCTAGCCGGCACCCTGAACTCTGGTCAGTCACATGTTCGTAATGCTCACTCCTCTCGCTCCTGGGAGCTGATTCCGCTGATCTGGGATGGTACGATATTTTATTTAGCTATTAGTTATATGATGGCTTAGCTGGTGTCGTAAGGTAGTGAGACATTCGGTTGGCTAAGCCGTGAGTTGGTTTCCACGTTATTAGCCCCGAAAAGGTGGAATCGCCTCAACGTTAACCGACTAGACCATTATCAACCTTGTGTGCAGTCAAATTACATAAAGTCGTTTTATAACTAAGCAGAATTCACCGAGAGTCGAACAGAGCCATAGAAAACCAATCAACTCAACGTCACATCCCCACGATCACCCGGGAGGACCAGTTCACGAAGTAGGAATAGTGGAAATACCAGCCTGCTTTTTCTGCTGGTGGATGAGTATACAAAGACTATCACCAGATGCCTTTAAAAAGGTGTATAGCGGACAAGCGCCCAAATATTCAGCTTCAGCTCCCAAATATCATAGAAGGAAGTAAAGATAGACTGTGAAGTAGGCAACTGATACTTAAAAGTAGAAATTATGCGTTTCTAGATGTCTGAATATGTGCGAAGAAATCGATGAGTTCGACGATTAGCGGGGCCAGCCAACACATACACTCGTACATAATTCGTCTAACTGTATGTGCCGAGAATCAGATAAAATTTCAACGAACCGGTCGCAATCGTCGTCGGTCGCGGTCGTGTCTTACCGCGACGGCACGAAAAACGACATCTTCACCTCCAACGATTATTTTATGGCGTATCGTCATAGTGATTTTGCTACTGAATGCCACCAGTGCTGACTGACACCGGATTTCTAGCATGGCGCCTCCTGTACTGAAACCAAGGGATGAAGAAGGGCGGGCTCACTTGACGAAAAGGTCTAACCAGGACGGTCTTTCAGGTCATTCATTTCTTTTAACAAACGGTTTTTCTGCAATTGTAAAGACTCGAGCGTAAAAATAGAACTCTGCTTCATTTTTCCTGAGCAGCCGCTTTTCCCTGCCCGAAAAAAGGATCAAGAGATTGTTTCACGATTCAGTTCTCCGGGGCGACAGAGTTTTGCAATTGACGCTTACATGATGTCGCAAATTGTACCCGCGGGTAGTAAAGGATGTCATATCACCATCGGAACCAACAGTATCCCATATATGTAAGTGGGTTTTACCGAAAACTGGTGTCAAAAGGTGTAACGCTAGAGCTTTTTTGAACCCCTTCCGGGCATGGAGATAGCCCACTTAGGAATAATGAACCATGGTTTTGCGTCCATGCATGTGCAACAATAATCATGCAAAAGATTGCTTTACATGGGCGGGGCACGATCTAAAAGGGTGATCCTGGTAGCGCTGATGCGTCTTGCGTCCTTTCCTCGGCGTCACCATCGTAAAACACAAGCATGCATTCGGATCCTTCTACAATTTTGCATGGATGTGGGGGACATGGCGCAGCCGAAATTGGTTAATCAACGCCGATCATAATTTTTATTTTGAGAATATTTTCAGCAGCTGGATCGACGAAAATGAGGCATGAAGCCAGCTCCCAAGACTAGAATAAGCACTCGTCATGAGCAGTGAATGCGCCTCTCCCGTCTCCGCCCTACGACCTTGCTCTTGCGCGCAGGGTTTCTTTGCTGTGTAAGCATATGCAACTTATTTCCAGGCTTTTACGGTAGTTTCCTTTGTTCCCATCAGCAACAAGCCACAGCAACTATTAATCTTCATTTTTGAACCCTATTACCCACCTCTATAATGTTGGAATGAACCTTCACCACAAAACGCGATACTGCCAGAAAAGGTTAGTGGGTTTAAATTTGAAGGAAGCTACAAGTAACTCGACAGTGAAGAAAAATCAATGGAATGCCAAACGCGGCCGAATAGGCTTACTATTTTGACAGATCGCTTCCTGGGGTCGGAGAGGCAGAGGGCAAAGAATTATTGGGGCGTCGCGACGAAAGTGCAGACGTCGGAGGCAAGACAGCACGGAGACGAGCAAAATGCAGATACAAAGTTTTGTAACACCAAGGTAATCCCTCTACTACAGGCAATGCCTGTGAGCAAGGTGAACAGCGGTCGAGGAATTCCTCTATCATGGCTCTTTACTATACGAGAGTAATGTCGAGAGTGAATGCGGCGAGCACAGGCGGCTCGCGGCTGGCGAGAGTGAATGCGCGCACAGGGTCAACCGTCACGTTGGACCGATTTTGAAAATTTTCGCGACCTCCCTTCTAGAGGGCTTCGATACGACCCCCTTCTCAGGGTCAACCCTTCACCACCCTCGCCTGCCATCGCCATCATGGGGCTCATTCTATAGTATTCGATTCTGAGACCAGTCGACACAGCCCAAACTCCGCCCACTTTTTCCTCCAAAATTGCCGTCGAGGGGAGGGGTATATACCTACCACGAAACCGCAAAACATCCTATCACTTTCCCTCTATTTCACCCATGTTTCCGCTGTAACATTTTTTAGGGGAGGGCATGCACACACACCGTTAAACGGCAAGTTTTTGCACGCCAACCAACTGGTTCATCACTTCCCTTACTGTAACATTAACGCTACCTCGCGAAATATGACCACCCTTTTCCATCCCAAATACGACCCCTCCCCTCGTTGACATTGTCCAACGGAACGGAGACCTGGTGCGCGCACTGGAAAGCGCGACTGAACAGGCGAAAATCGTCGACGAACCGTTGCCGTTTCCTCGACCGATTTCACCCTGCCTGCGAGTGCATGACGAGGCTCAACATTTGTACTTGATTATATATTAGGTCGGTCCATAAGTCTTGCAACAAACTGGCCGAATTTTGAATTTAATATTTTCATTATCTTTTTGTTCCATTCATCCGGCATGCTACCCTCCATCAATATCTACAACCTATTGCCAACACACTAGTAGCTGCTCGATGCCTCCCTTGTAGGACTCTACTGAATTCTGATCGAAGAAAGATCAGATGTCGATTTTGACATCATCATAGTTAGGATGAGCTTTCTTCTCTAGGAGATGGTTTGGAGAGGGAGAGCAGAAGGGCATTATTTGCCTCGAGGAAGGCGGAAGAGCTCTCCGTCCTTGAGTTCAAAAACTTTCCTGGATTTTCTTAGCAAGAGGTGGTTCAACGGTGTCATATAAAAAAGCAAACTTTATCTTGTTTCTCTTTCGTATCAAAAGCGTTGCAATCGAGCTGTGGATAGTTGACTTCCGCGTTGACTGCGACATCTACACGTAGGGGTTTCCAGAGCTTAACTCCTCTCGTGTTCCACCAAAAATCCGAGAAGGCCCTACTTGGACGAGGTTGAACTTAAGCAGTAAGATCTCCCGAAGCGTTTGAGCTGGACTACCGCCGCTTGTTCATTTGTTAGTAAACTGTACCCACTCCTCATCTTCGGCAAATGTGATGGATGGTCAATCGTAGAATCCCTAGTAAGTCGACTTGAACATAACGGTGTCAGATCGTGTTTGGAGCTGAATCGGGCTCAAGGCACGTGGGGACCAAACTCTACATTTTCGGATCTTCACAAGTCTTTGGAGATGCCACAGTGCTGTCTCCTTGTCGCATCGGAATCGCTCTAGCAAATGATCGATACTCTATCCAGATCCCTTTTCAACGCCGTCAGATATAGCATCGTGATTGTCAGTCACAGGGTGGTTGGAGTGTGGGTTATTTTCAAATAAAAAAAGTCAACGCTGAGCAGAGTGAAGCGCCGTTGCACTGTGGTTTGAGAGAGCTTGCCCTCGCCTATCTTCTGGCCAATCCTTGGTCTAGCATGACTTGCGGAACATTCCAAGCAGTACTCGTAAAAATTAAGGGCACCGAGAGCCCTCTCGCGAAATCGGTGTAATATCCATAATAAGTAAGCAGACAACGAGCTGGACCGTTGGCTGAAATTGCAAAGGTTGATGCTACGTCAGGAAATATGTTGCGGATTTTCAGGAGTTCTCCCTAAAATTCTATAGCATTAAATGTAGTTTGTTGCAAGACTTATGGACCGACCTAATATAATGCTTGCATTTCACGCTTTTTAGGTACCACTATTTATACGTGCGACAATCATAGAGTAACATTCTAACAAGTGAAATGTCATAAGAGAATTTGATAAACCTCACAGTGCAATGAAAACATTATATCCGTAAAAAGAGATATGAAAGGTGAAGGGCTGTGTTTTTTTCAATGACACAAGTTTTGCCGTATTCACGAACAACTACGAGATCAATATCAAACGATATAGCAAGAGTGATGTGAGCCTTTTGAAGTGAAATCAAGGATAAATTCAAATTCAAAGTATTGCACATTCCGGCAAGAAAAAAAAGGATACCGAGTTGCCACTTGCAGTTGGAGCTAAGTTTTCCAACTTTCATAACTTACACGCCACTAGTGCGTGCGGCATCGGTCGGACTATTGAGCCTTTTTCACTGGTAACAGAATGACAAAGGGAAGGGGCGCACTACAAGGTAGCAACGGTCCCAGGATCTTCCCCCTACGCTTAGCATGGAACTGCTTTTGGGGGTGAGGTATCGCCTTCACGTACCAATTTTTCAAGGAAACCCAAAACACACTGTCAATCACAAATACTGAGCTGTGAGTTAACAAGAAATAAATAACTTTGCGCTACCCTTAGGTCAAGCAGGCCAATAAAGTGAGCTCTTCGGGATCCACCAAATGAGATGCTGTTGAACAGCAACAGCACGAATACTCAATTACAAATATGGAATACAAGATAGCTTATTTTCAACCCGATTTGTTCTGCGTGGCCAGCGGCTTAATAATGAGATGCCGTTGTAGTATATCGTAGAAATCGTCGTGAGTAAACAACTCTCGTAAACTGTCGAATTCAAGCAAATGGTCCCAAATCTTCTGCAACTCCTGCAAAAACACAATTCCAGTCACTTCGAAAGCTTTGATAAAATTCATAAAGAACTGCCGTAAACTCACATTTCGCCGCTTCTTCGGTATAGCTTTCTTGCACTTTCGTTTATTTATCAACTGCATAGCCAGGTAATGCATCCAAAAGCAATTTGACTTGGGATTGAATGCCATCCAATCACCTCTGTGAAAGTCATAATGTACAACAGAAGCCTGGTTATCCAAGAGTGTCAACCTTGGAATTACGATAAAACAAAAATATAAGGACAAACTGCATCAAAAAGATTGCCTAAAAAGAGGGTTGGGTAACTCAATCAGATTCCCAAAGCTGTTTTGAGGGAAATCTTGTTAGCATGACGGGAATTCCGAATCTGAATGCGGTCATAACAAAAAGGTGTGGGCTGCGTCTTCGGTCCTACGCATCGCGAAGTATCTCGTGAACCTTGTCGCGAACTGCGGGTACCCGATAGGAGGCCCGTCGCGCGGCAAGAAGGCAGAGTCAGCGGACGAGTTGCAGCGCGTGCTGTGCGATGTAGGACGTGGTACATTCTATTTAACTTGACGCGAAATCACTACAGTACGCGCGCGACTCGTCCGCTGACTCTGCCTTCTTGCCGCGCGACGGGCCTCCTGTCGGCTA